GAGCAAGAGACCCATGTGTAAACCACCAAATAAGTGGATCCAATACCCCTCTATCAATCTTTGAGTCAAAATCTCCAAACATATCCAAACCTCCTAAAAACTTGGCATATTCCACATTTACAACCCTTCTCTCCTCTAAATTTGGAAAGTATTTCTTGAAGCACTTGTTTCTCATACTTGAAATTTCTTCATCCCTATGAGGAGGGACACGATTGGTATTTTCATCAAGCCATGTTGAACTATAATACCTAGATTACAACATTGGAAAGTTTTAAAATTAAATTATGTTATTCATATTAAAAGGCAAATGTCAACAAAGAAATGTAATTAGTAAGGTTATGAATTAAGCTATTAACTTGGATTCAAAGAATGTGCAAGGCAATGAAGAGGAGTGTTACTTTTGGCCCACCTCTCAACTAGTATATTGTGCACAACGGAATAAAAGATTGATTCCTCATGATCTAGCTTCCCTTCATGCCTAAAGATGCTTGCTTCACATCATCAACACAAAGTGTGATCTAGTGACATTCATCATAAGCAAAAGCAGTACCCCCTGTTTCCTTTGGAGCACAAATGTTCTTAAGAGCAAGATTCCAATGTGTGAACTACACATGGTGTCCAAAAGATATTTGGGTACTTACTTTCAATGAGTAAACCAGCTGCACTACACATGGGAGCATTATCTGTAATGACTTGAATGACATTCTGATGTCCAACTTCTTCAATTGATTGACTAATTAAGTTGGAAATAAAAAACTTGTCTTTACTTATCCCACCACACATCATTCAATAATTTTTCCTTCACAGATGCTGCTTTCCCAACATCGTCTTCTTTGTAAGAAACCCACTGGTCACTAATAACCATTGATTGAAGGCCACACTTTATAAGTTTAAACCTTTTGAGCATGACAATGGCAGATGCGAAACGTGTATCTGCAACAGCAAGCAACTTCAAGGGTACGAATTCATTGAAAAAAGCTAGCCGCATGGAATGGTTCATGATGAAGTTTTTGATAAACATCACATCATCAACACAAAGTGTGATCCAGTGACATTCATCATAAGCAAAAGCAGTACCCCCTGTTTCCTTTGGAGCACAAATGTTCTTAAGAGCAAGATTCAATGTGTGAACTACACATGGTGTCCAAAAGATATTCGGGTACTTACTTTCAATGAGTAAACCAGCTGCACTACACATGGGAGCATTATCTGTAATGACTTGAATGACATTCTGATGTCCAACTTCTTCAATTGATTGACTAATTAAGTTGGAAATAAAAAAACTTGTCTTTATGCTCACCTTCACAATTAACAGTTTTCAAGAACACTGCCCCAGCTTCTGATGCTCCCATAAAATTAATAAGGGGCCTTCTTTGAGAATTAGTCCATCCATCTGAAACAATACTCAACCCTTTTTCCTTCCATGATGCTCTAGTTGGCTCCAACAACCTCTCTACATTAGCCCTTTCCTTTTGAAGCAATGTAGTCCTCAGCAAGTTATAACCGGGTGGTACATAACCAGGAATTGGATTGTTGGCAACAAATTGAAATGCACTAACATAATATGGGTTCCTTGATAAATGAAAAGGTAACCCCGCAGAATAAAACATGCGAGCAATCTCAGAATGCAGTTGTTCCCAAATAACTGGGTTGAATGCCTTTTCTAGAGCAGAAGTTCCAGTAGCCTTTCTTTTTCTTGGCTCATACCCCTCCATTCTAAATCCTCCAGTATCTAAAGCCCTTGAACCTGTTGAAGTAGATTGGGTGGAAGGTGGTAAAGGAACTCTTTTAGGCATAGTCATCTTTAACCTCTTCTCAGCTTCTTCAATTTTCCTTTGCATTTCAGCAAGGTGTTGCGGAGTCACTTTCTAATCCCATTGCCAGAAAGTTTTAACAAATGCGCCTTGACCCTAAAGTATGACCCCTTGTACTCATGTTGACAGTAATTGCATTTAAACCTAGTATTACCACCTCCTTCTCCCATTTTTTTCTAGTTTTGTAACATAACACCAAAAAGGAGCATGATCATCTTCTTCCATTGGTGTACCACTTGTTGAACCTAAACTTCCCGTACCCGAACTCATTTCCTAAAATTTATGGTAAACAAATAAAACAAAACATTAATGTAGCATCACCCATAACAACCATAATGCATCACCCATAACAAAAAATTCATCAATTCAATTAAATTTCAACAATATAGTATCACCCATAACAACCACAATTCAATCCCATAATTTGAATAATTCAAATTTAGGGGGAAAAATTTTACAAAGTTCATTTATTTATCAATAAGTTTATTTATTTACTTATTAATAATTTTTTTTTACCTTATTTGATTTATTAATAAGTTTACAAAGTTTATAATTTTATAAGTTTACAAAGTTTATTTTTAATAAGTTTATTTATTTATTGGTTGTATCAGATTCAAGTAATAGTACCGAATAATGTCAACAAAGTTTTTTTTTTTGTATATCTTATTTGATTTATTTTATTTTATTTACAGAGTATATACATACAAAAAAAAATTTAAAAAATAATAAAAAAAAATAAATATGCAAAACAACGGAGACAACATAGATAAGGGAGAGAGAGAGAGAGAGATCGACCAAGGGGGAGAGGTGAGATCGCAATCTGTCTGAGACACAGACAGATCAAGCGAGAGGGAGGGAGAGAGAAAGAGTTCGTGAGATCGAGTGAGAGGCAAACAGAGGGAGCGAAAGGGAGAGAGAGAGGGACGAACCTGATCGACGACCGTGGAGCTCCTGTTCACGAACCTGATCGACGACCGTCGAACTACTGTTCGAGACGAGAGACGAGAGACGACGAACTCCTCCTCCTCCTCCTCCTTCGCGGCTGCTGTTCGACCTAGGTTTGGTTGATTATTATTTTTTTTTTTGTGTTTTATTTTATCTGATTTTCATATTTTACATTTTTACCCCATTTTAAGTTTTTTAAATTAATTTTTTGCCCCGCTGTATCCATATCGTATCTTGACCGTATCCCGACCGTATCCTCTCGTATCCTAGACGTATCCAAAATTCAAAAATTAAAAAAAAAATTGGATACTTCATTTCCCATATCTGATACGTATCCCGTCGTATCGGGCGCATATCCGTATCCGATACGTATCCGATACGCGTACAGGGGCCATTTCGGAGTATCCATGCTTCATAGGTGATGAAGATTAATTTATGTAGTATGGGGTCCACGTAAGGTGTGATGGAGATTAATTTCTAGATAATTTCTGAGTGGATAAGGATAAATTTGTAGTATTACTCAAAATTAAAAGGATTGATCGACACTCTACCTTGGAAATTTGTGTCTTAAGTTGTATATGTGAAGATGAACTAAACTCTCAAATTTATAACTAAGATTGTTATGTTTTATTCTTGGCAATCCCGTTTGACAAAACTCCTTTGAGTTGTAATTTTATTCGCATTTTTATTTCAGTGAGGCTATGAGTTTTTAGATGCGAATCCAACCCGAATCGAGCCTTACAGAGAAGTTTGTGATGTTAATGCTTTCAAGATTGCCACTTCACTGATTATAACGGGGATCGAGCTGCCCGGTCAGCTCATGGGGGTCTAGGGGGCAGCGCCACGGCAGGGTCGAGGGGCAACGCCCCCGACGCAAAATGCAAAAATGCATTCCAATTTGCCTGTCCGCTCGAGCGGACATTACCCTGCTCGAGCGGAGAATCCTTGGTTCCAGCAATTTTGGTCGCCTGTAAAAGTACTAAGATGTGTGATTTCACGCTCGAGCGGGTTCTCAAGCACTCGAGCGGGTTCTCAAGCACTCGAGCGGACCTCTGTTTTGTCACACGCATATTTTGCTGAAGCCGCTCGAGCGGGCTGTTGGGCGCTCGAGCGGAGATCGCGGGTCAGATTTCTATAAGGAATTGGTTTTCTTCAAATCCAAGATTAGTTTAGATTTCTATAAAGAATTGGTTTTCTTCAAAACCAGGATTACTTTGGATTTCTATAAGGAATTGGTTTTCTTCCAGAACTATAAATAGTTGGTTTTCTCCCAAAACTATTTAATTCCTCCCGATCTTCTTTTTGGTTCTTAAGGTTTATATCTAAGGATATTTTGTTAGTTTTCTTTGATATTTTATTGAGTATTCAACTCATGATTTAAAGAGAGTACATCAAAAGTTTTAGTTTTCTTTGATGTTTTATTGAGTATTCAACTCATGGTTTAAAGAGAGTACATCAAAGGTTTTGTTTGTTATACACAAGAGAGAGAGAGAGCTGTTCTTCGGTGGATTCTGAAGAATTCAAGCCTGAAGCTTCGGTGGATTCCGAAGTGGCTCATCGTAAAGACAATTCCGAGGTGAAGACGGGGTTGGAAGAGGCACATAGAGTATAGCGATCCCAGGTTTACCCTTGTTGTATAGTGATCCGGACATGTGTCCGTGGATGTTGGTAGTTGTTTATTATCTTGTTTACATCCTTTCTTACTTTGTATTTGAGTTATAGGATGTGTTGAGCGGGTTTGTTTCAAGTTGGGTTGATTTATCTTGATTGTTTGATTGGAATTGTTTTATACTGCTTAAAATTGTTACATAATTACAAATCAATATGTAGGGGATTTCTAGATTTTTCACTCACCATCCACCAGTACCTTGGAGATAATGGACATGTTTGGTACAACTCTTACTAAGTTGAAAGTTAATAATCAAAAAATAAAAGTTAAAATCATATCTCCTCTTATTTATTAATTATTAATTTTTCGGTTCATTTAAGTTAATTGTACCTCTGAATTATGAGAATAAACTGCACTAAATATGTTGACACTACTTATTAAAATAAATAAAAAAAATTATAAACAATTTCATAAGCTGCAAACAAACAATTTAATTATGGTTCCACACACATTAGTGGATGAGGATTTTGGAGGAGTGACTCTTTGGTCTAGGGTTCAATCCAGCACTGCTCTCCCTCCCTCCCCTTATGATGTGATATGTAAATTACTTATATTTGCAATAAAATAAAATAAAGATATTAAAAAAAAAAATAAAACGAAGAAGAAGAAGGAAGATATGATGGTTAATTTGACGGCATTATAAATGTGGGCAATATTTAATCTAATAAATCCAACCACAAGGGCCTTCAACAATTTGCCAAATAAAATGCTTTCTTAAACAGTAAGTGAACTACTCAAAAATTACAAAAAAAACAAAATAAAAAGAATTATAAAAACTGATACCACGTGAACAAAACCTACCGACATGGTGGTGGGCACCGTGAGAAGTGACATTTTACCCTATTTTTCGATTTGTGCAATGTTGCACACGTCATTTATGTTGTCACTTATAATCATTTGTTCATAAAAATACAAAGGTTAATATATAAATAATGAATCTCACCTTTTAAAATATAACTAAGTTGGAGGTATCGCAATTATTTGTCCCAATATCATTATACAATTATGACTGATTTCAATTGTATTTAAAAATATCTTCAACAAAGATGTCAAAATTAAGTGTTAGTGTGTTAATGACATAAAACAACATAAATGAATATCAAATTTTCGGTGTCCATGATAGTTAGTGAGTGTATAGACATTGCAATGGATATGTGACAGTGTGTTTTATAAAATTCACGCGGGGGATTGGGGAAGTAGAGTAAAAATTCATTCACTTTGCATAATTGCATATGTCCAAACAAAAAATGGTTACAAATGGGTCCACTAGCCTGCACCTGGTACCTCCTCTATGTGTTTGTGTTACTTGGTACCATTTTTTGTTTGCATAATTGTATATGTCCAAACAAAAAAATGGTTACAAATGGGTCCACTAGCCTGCACCTGGTACCTCCTCTATGTGTTTGTGTTACTTGGTACCATTTTTTGTTTGCATAATTGTATATGTCCAAACAAAAAAATGGTTACAAATGGGTCCACTAGCCTGCACCTGGTACCTCCTCTATGTGTTTGTGTTACTTGGTACCATTTTTTGTTTGCATAATTGTATATGTCCAAACAAAAAAATGGTTACAAATGGGTCCACTAGCCTGCACCTGGTACCTCCTCTATGTGTTTGTGTTACTTGGTACCATTTTTTGTTTGCATAATTGTATATGTCCAAACAAAAAAATGGTTACAAATGGGTCCACTAGCCTGCACCTGGTACCTCCTCTATGTGTTTGTGTTACTTGGTACCATTTTTTGTTTGCATAATTGTATATGTCCAAACAAAAAAATGGTTACAAATGGGTCCACTAGCCTGCACCTGGTACCTCCTCTTTGTGTTTGTGTCGCATGTTTAATCCATACCATACAATTGACTAATATTAGAAATACAAAGGTTGCGTTTGGTAGAGTTTTTTAAATATGATTTATGAATAGAGTTGTATTTTGAGTTTGTGAGTTTTGAAATTATGATTTAAGTGTGAAAATTTTGTTTAGTGAATGAGTTTTGAATTGAGTGGAAAATTTTCGATGTGACATATGATATTTGACACAAAAATTTACAATTCGTAACCAAACACAAAACTCAAAATTCTATTTAAAACTCATAGATTTTTTTAAAAAATTCCATTTTTTTTATTTAAAATATAAAAAATAACAAGTGGCATTTGTAAAAAAAAATAAAATAAAAAAAAATGTACTGTTCCGGTCAACCAGCTGGACCTCCGAGAGGACGACTGGTTAGCTCAAATTTTCTCGCCTTGGACAGAGTTTTCAAAAGTGAGTGTAGAATTAATTTTTGAAAACCGTAAACAAACACCACTCAAATGTAATGATAGAATTAACTTTAGAAAGCTCTACCAAACAAAGCCAAAATATTGTATCAAAATTTTTATAAAATACTCACATGAGTGTGGGAGAGACCTAC